TAGGGGAATGGAAACTCGATTTGAAGAAAGTTCGGGATGGATTCTGAAATTGAGTCCATCGATTGACAACAGAGTTTCGGTTTATATGTGATTCGTCCGTATTGAGTTTCCGATGCAACATGAGTTGAATTGTGAAACTTCTAACGAGCTGACCGCGGCCATGAGAATTCGTGGTCAAATGTGTGCCGTCGTCGCAGTAGTAGGTTATGTATTTCTTCCACTCAAAGCTAGCTATGAAAATTCACGCATTACCATTTAGGGTAGAAATGTACGCGAAGCAACAAGTTTTCACCAAAATTTTCTCGAATTATAATCAACACCTGTAGTTGAACATATACATACTTTCCCACATTGGGCCAGCTACCCGGCGTATTCATCATTCGCACTGTGAACACTTAGAGCGTCAAAATGTTCACTGTTGGTAGAGAAGTTGAGATCCACGGTCCGAACTGGATGGGGTGTTGTGGGATCTACTTCTCCTTTGGGAGCAGCGGCACCACTCACCCCTACCTGGTGAACGATATCGAATAATCGATCGGATTCGAGAGAGTATTGCCCTAAAATACGCCTATGCTTTCATCGATTTTCGGAGTGTATATCCACAGTATTTCGAACTGGATTTGGGATGAGGACACTCACCGCACTCCAAGCGTTGATAGGCGACTAGGAAGAGGTGAATGAAAATATTGAAAAATGGAATCAAGAGGTGACAATTGAATCTGTCTGAAATTTTGGTATATATATCCGCATCGTTAACAACTCTAATTACAACTCCTAATTCAGTATGAGCACGCTCATTACATTTTGATTGACGAACCGTAGGAACATGGGAATAGACGATTAGGAGGATAAGTAAGGGGACGATATTGACTAAGGGGGCGATGTCATGAATAATTTCAATGGATTTCATCCGGATTGTCTTACGAAGCCGTGAAGATGGACACGGCCGAAGCCGCTTTATGCGTTACTCGATGGTAGGCGGCATTGTCCGATGTAGATTCGTGAGTAGGGTACTCAGTGAGTCGCTGCGTCAGCTCCGATTTGGGAGTCTAAGATACCTTATCTCCGCTAAACTCTTTTGGAGGGCTAGCGCATCGGACTTGCTCCTTTCGAGCATTCTGGTCAATTCCTTTACGATGCGACATTTTCATGCAGCTCGGAAATACTAGAATATTTCCAGCTCGGCGAATCGTCAGAGACGTGTGATTGTGGATTCGTCTCTTAATTGACTTTCTACACCAATTGATTCTGGGCTCCAGAATCTTTGAAATTCACTGCTCCAGAATCTGCAGCTGTGAACTTCGGTTGAGATACTCAGGTTTATTTTCCCACACTTGAAATGCATGTTGCCTTATTACCCTTCCTCCATCTCATGGGGGCTATGATTCTCTCCCATCTACCGGGGGTATTCTCAGCAGCTCAGGGAGCTGCAGTAGTGGTTATCGAAGATAATAGAGGCAAGCAAGTCCCTATAAAGGAGGCGTTCCGCCGTACCTCCCGCGACGTCACCGAGGGGAAAGGACGGGCCCACCATTCAGTGGAGGAACTGAGTCGACTATGGGAGTGCTTCGGAGAGTCGGCGGACTCGGCGCTGGTAACGAACTTGGAAATCACGGGTATTGAGATAGTCTCCACTGGAGTTCCGGGCTGTTTGGTGTCTGATGAGGAGATTTGTGATTTTGTTGTGTCCTTATCACACTATGAATACTATAGAGAAGTAGCATGCACGGTCAACTCACACTCGTGGATGACATCACAGATCAGTGAAATGCCAGGGGCTACATCATTCCACGTTGGTGTCCCTCGGATGAAATCCCGCGTAAACGCGTTGGTGTATCCTCCAGACGATCCGATATTTTCGAGACAAGTTGAGTTGTTCGAAGCCTTGAGGATCGAGGAGACGTGGAAGGCAGTGAGGGATTCGGGCCTTCAACGGAGGGAGCCAATCGTGAGCTTATTGGATACCGGCATTAAAGCCGAACATCCTGAGTTCGCTGGGAGACTCCTCAAGGAGATTGACCTTACTGGGCTACATGGAGAGAATGGCACGGATCTCCACGGCCACGGCACAGCAATGGCTGGTATCATTGCAGCCAATTCGAACAACGGCGAAGGTATCAGTGGGATCGCCGATAAGGTGAAAATCCGATCGATTAGGATGTCTATTAATGGGAGGGGAATTACTGCTGTCCAGCTTGTTCGCGCGTGGGAGGCGGTGTTAGCATGTGGTGATTCCGACATCATAGTATACGCCTATGCTGGAGGGGTTTGTCGTAGAAGTGCGAGTATATGTAGTCGTGTGCTGAAGAAAGCTGTCAAGAAGGGCCTCCTTGTTCTCGTATCTTCTTCTAACTCGGACGAAGTTGACAGTGCGGGCGAGATTGAACAACCTTGTTCCCAAGCCAATGGTATACCAGGAGTTCTCTGCGTTACCTCAACCTACGTGGATAACCCGATGACGTTGGTCTACGGGGCGTCCAAATTGGCAACTCTTGCCGTACCATCGTCCGACGTCTGGTTCCCAACACCGGAGCGTGAGGGAAGCGAGTGGCTATATTCAAAGAATTCGGGCTCATCGGTCGCCACGGCGATTGTTGGCGGAATAGCAGCTCTGGTGACGAGTTTGGGGCACTTCGATCTAGCAGACGTCGAAAGGATATTATTGAACTCCACAAAGGGAAGAGCGAAAACGGATAAAGACGAGATGCTGTACGGAGTCCTCGATCCTTATTTTGCTATTTAACAGGCAATAAGGGAGGCTACTTTATCGACTGCGAGAAAGTCACGGATGACTCAGACGCAGAAAGAATCATCCTGCACCATCTCATGAGATATTGGTGCCCATGATTGGTCCCCCATTTAGATGCATATTGAGAGTCTTCGTCTCTACGAGCATCTGTAGACTGTAATGTCTGATGTTGATGTGTATTCCATGTAATTGATGAGTGTCTGTTGTCCTATTAGGCGGAGCTTCGCGTTATAGGATGGGGGGAAACTTGATGCTGCCCTTCGTGTCCTCTTATTGTCGTCCTACACCTATTTGGGGGCTGTATTCCCCCCTGGGGCAGCTATGCCACTCCAAGATATGCCTTAGTACATTCTTTTTTCTTTCTGGGGCAGCTATGCCACTCCGAGATATGCCTTAGTACAATTCATTCTCCCTCTTGGGCAGCTATGCCGCTCCAAAATATGCTCTTGGTACAATCTATTTCCACCCTGGTGCAACTATGCCACTCCAAGATATGCCTCGGTATGAATTTCCCCGCTGGGGCAACCATGCCACTCCAAGATATGCCTCAGTATCTATTTCACCGCTGGGGCAACTATGCCGCCTCAAGATATACCTTGCTACAATCAATTCCCACGCGAGGGGCAACTATGCCGCCTCAAGGTACACCTTGGTACAATCAATTCCCCCGCGAGGGGCAACTATGCCGCCTCAAGATATACCTTGGTACAATCAATTCCCCCGCGAGGGGCAACTATGCCGCCCCAAGATATACCTTGGTACAATCAGTTCCCCCGCGAGGGGCAACTATGCCGCCTCAAGGTACACCTTGGTACAATCAATTTCCCCGCGGGGCAACTGCACTCCTCCACATACTCTAAGCATATCCAGTTTTTCGATTCGTGCACAGTCACCCCAACGAGTACCATCTTGCGGCTCAGGGGGGTATGCTCTCATTCTTCACACGATATAACCTCCAAATTTCACGGGCCAACTCTTCGTAGTGAGTGAGAAGTCGAAAAGTGGTAAATTATTTTCTGCACAGATTCTTAGCATACACATGTTAAAATCGCGCCTTAGATACTAACTTTCACGTGGAAGGTAAAGTGGACGTGCTTGACAATCGTTGTCAGTATTGGAATACGTGTTTTGTTTCCTCAGCTGAGTCAAAGAGCTCTCTCATTAATTATAGACATTTATATTCGACCTAAGATAGAAGTATACTAAAACCAGCGAGAATTTCATCAGAGTTTTCTCACTGTCATCGGTACGCGGAGTTGATTATGTGTGTATTTTCCCAAGACTATTCGTTTTGGTAACATTCTAGTTCAAATACGTTGAACAGTTCAACTTGAACTTCCCCTGAGATGGTATTAGATTGTTCCACATCAGTTCGTCTTAGGTTGGATCGTAAATCCTTCTATAATCTATCTACGAGCATCGTGAAAGCCTCGCAGCAATCTAAGGATGTCAGGGTTGCAATGTTCCGCTGCTGAGGGTCTGGTCTACGACTCCCAGGTAACCTGGGCCAGGTTGTCACTGACAGTCTCTCGGCCGAGAGCTGAGCTCTCAGAGCTCTCTGTCAGGTGAATTCATGTCATTGTGGGGATGTTATTACTGGCAATGAATTATGTCGAAGTAACTGTTGTAGTTGCGGATTCAACGATGTTGACATTACCATCCATCGGCTGGCTATGATATCGTTCGATTCAAGGCTCACGGACAGATCGCCAGGAAGATTCAGATAACTGCGTTCGTGCTCTATCACGGTCCTCATTCCAGCTCCTCTGCTATCCTCAAGTTGGCTGATGCGTTGAAGACTACGGGTAAAGTTGCTGTGCCGTGGTTGGTGAGAGTCGTTGTTCTCTTAGGGGAATGGAAACTCGATTTGAAGAAAGTTCGGGATGGATTCCTGAAATTGAGTCCATCGATGGACAACAGAGTTTCGGTTTATATGTGAATCGTCCGTATTGAGTTTCCGATGCAACATGAGTTGAATTGTGAAACTTCTAACGAGCTGACCGCGGCCATGAGAATTCGTGGTCAAATGTGTGC